ATAATTCTCAAACTTTCGAAGTAAATTCAAGACTGTTCGAAGCAAATTCAATTTATATGGTTCATCCAAACCTTCGACTACTACAAAGTGTGGCTTGCATCACAATCTCTTGCTCAACAATGTGGAAGCAAAATAATTCATGGTACCCAACAAAAGCTTCAACTCCAAAGCTTCACCTATAAAGCTTCAACTCCAAAGCTTCACCTACAAAAACTTTAACACAAAAGCTTGACCCACAAAAGCTTCACCAACAAAAGCTTCATCAATGGAGGACAACTACAAATTCTCAAAAGCTTCACACAATCTTGATCAAGATAGTGTGAAGCAAAATCAATTCATGGTACCCAACAAAAGCTTCAACTCCAAAGCTTCACCTACAAAAGCTTTAACACAAAAGCTTCACCCACAAAAGCTTCACCAATAAAAGCTTCATCAATGGAGGACAACTACAAATTCTCAAAAGCTTCACACTATCTTGATCAAGATAGTGTGAAGCAAAATCAATTCATGGTACCCAACAAAAGCTTCAACTCCAAAGCTTCACCTACAAAGCTTCAACTCCAAAGCTTTACCTACAAAAGCTTCAACACAAAAGCTTCACCCACAAAGGCTTGACCCACAAAACCTTCACCTACAAAAGCTTGACCATAAAAGCTTGACCCACAAAACCTTCACCCACAAAACCTTCACCCACAAAAGCTTGACCGACAAAAGCTTGACCCACAAAAGCTTGACCTACAAAAGCTTGACCCACAAAAGCTTTACCTACAAAAGCTTCACCGACAAAAGCTCAACCTATAAAAACTTGACCTACAAAAACTTCACCTACAAAAGCTTCACCCACAAAAGTTTCACCCACAAAAGCTTCACCTACAAAGCTTCACCTACAAAGCTTCAACACAAAAGCTTCACCTATAAAAGCTTCACCTATAAAAGCTTCACACTATCTTGATCAAGATAGTAAGAAGCAAAATCAATTCATAGTGCCCAACAAAGCTTCAACAACAAAGCTAAAATATATATATATATATATATATATATATATATATATTCAGAAATTTCAAAATTCAAAAATTCGAAAATTCAAAAATTCGAAAATTCAAAAAAATAAAAATTGCCTAGGCCTCATCTTCTTTGGGCCTAACAACTTTCATAACAAATATATATGAAGGAGGAGTTTTGGGCTACCACTTAGAAAGGAAATGCCTCATTTGTCAACTGCCTCGACCGGAGACTTGGGGGACACCTACCATATGCTACTGCATCTTGATACTCAGAAGTCTCACGACCACTCAGTGACTTGGATTTTTCAAGTCTCCAACCAAGAAGTTTTCCTCACTCGGGAAATTAAGGGAGCACTACCTCAACATACATGCTTCACTCTCAAAGGTTCAATATACAAACTTCAACAAAAGAAAAAATTCAAAGAACTTAGTGAAGAAGGCCTTAATGTATTTAATACAATATGTTGAAATGAAGCAAAGCTTGTTTATTGATATCTCCGATAAGTTACAAATATGTACATATACATGAATCAAAATAAACAAACAAGAGGGAGCATTCACAAAGGTTGCTCATGAGAAGTCTCAGCAGTCGGCAGAGCCCTAGAGAGAGTAAGCACCGGAAGGTGATCATTCGGAGCCTCAGTATTGGGCAGAACCCTAAAAGAAGAAGGCACCGAAGGTTGATCATTCGAAGTTTCATTACGCGGTACAGCCTTAGAAGACGAAGGCAATAAATGCCTTTAGAACAAACCCACAAACCTCTGATGATCAAGCAAAATCTGACCATCAGATTCCTACAGCTGGTCAAGCTTCCTCTTCATGTTTGTAGCATAGTCATGTGCGAGCCTGTGCAACTGTTTATTCTCATGCTTGAGCCCTCTGATCTCCTGTTTGAGACTTATCACTTCAGCCTCCAATGATTCAACTTGGCGGGTTCGAACAAATAGGCGTTGGGCCATATTAGACACAAAACCTGCACACTGAACACTGAGAGCCAGAGAATCTTTAACAGCCAACTCATCAAACCGTTTGGAAAGTAGTCTGTTATCTTTGGGAGTGAGAAGGTTCCTGGCCACCACCGCAGCAGTCATATCATTCTTCATCATAGAGTCCCCAACGGTAAGAGGACCAGTAAAGGATAAGAAGGATGGGCGTCATATGTTGTCTTGAGAAGGCATGGCTGCCTCTTCACCAAAGTTCAAGTCAAAACGACGGTCAAGTGGGCCAGACATTCTTAGAAATGATGAAGGAGAAATTAGGTGCAATAAATCTCTGAAGTAAAGGGAAAATTCCTACAAGCAATAACTCTCTGAATGTACTTCTTGCACAATTGGTGCCCTTATAAAAGAAAGGGCAACACGGTCGTTGGTTCAAAAATCGAAAAGGCACCACTCTCCGGATTCCGAAGAGGCACCACTTTCCACACGCAACATCATTTCCTCGGGTACCACAGATAACTTTGCCAAATATCCCTGACAAAGTTTAGACACATAAATTTTGAAGGTCCAGCTACCCTACTATTACCCACAAGGGTAAAGGAACAACACCACTGCTTGATAACTAGAAAGTCTCAATGTGTGTCAACCTCCGTGCTCCTTGGCAAGGCAGACTGGCAAAAATGCCCAACCTTTACTCACGTTCGAGAAAACACTCTCAACAAGATTGCTTGCTCAAAAATCGAAGAGGCACCGCCCTCCGAATCTCGAGAGCCAAACTCCCAACATGATTACTTTCCCAAAAATCGAAGAGACACTATTCTCCGAATCTCAAGAGTCAGACTCCCAACAGGATTGGTTGCTCAAAAATCGAAGAGGCACCGGCCTCTGAATCTCGAGAGCCAGACGCCCAACAGGATTACTTTCTCAAAAATCGAAGAGACACTGCTCTCTGAATCTCAAGAGTCAGACTCCCAACAGGATTGCTTTCTAAAAAATCGAAGAGGCACCACTCTTCGAATCTCGAGAGCCAAACTTCTAACAGGATTATGTGCTCAAAAATCGAAGAGGTACTGCCCTCCGAATCTCGAGAGCCAGACCCCCAACAAGATTGCTTTCTCAAAAATCAAATAGGCATAATTCTCTGAATCTCGAGAGCCAGATCCCCCACAGGATTGCTTGTTCGAAAACCGAAGAGGCACCGCTCTCCAAACTTCGAGAGCCAGATTTCCTTGGATAAAGCTTGTCTGCAATCTTCACACGCAACATCAGCTTTCCAGATACCACAGACCACTTTTTCTAATTGCTCTGACAAAGTTAAAACACGTGAAGCTTGCAGCTCCTACTACATTGCTATGACAAAAAAGGGTAAAGGAATAGCACTACTACTTGTTGTTAGGGAGAATCCTATATATGTCGACCTCCATCCTCTACATCCAGGCAAACCTGCAAATAAAAAAAATGCTCAACTTTTCTTCACATTTGGGAGGGCACTCTCAGCAGAGTTTCTCGAAATACTCATCTTTTTTTCCTCTCGATAATACCTCTGCAAACAAGCCACACCAGAGCAAGAGTATCTCATATCATCAGGGTTAAAAGCAAGAGTATCCCATATCATGCTTTTTCCCTGTCTTTTCCTTTGACCTTGTTTTACCTACAAGACAAAGAGAAAGATAATAATCAGTCAGCACTTGGAATCAAGCTTCCAGTCAGGAACTGACTGCCTGGAACCCCTTGCCTGATTACTTACCTGGCATTGCTCTCGAGTACTCATCTTCAACATCTTATACTTCCAGAGAAGATACCACATCTGCCTGAGGAACAGATAGGGCAAGTGAGAAGGATACAAGGAAGCATGTGGAGACAAGCGTAACAAAACACGTGTCGATACATCCACTACTTTGTCAAAAGCAAAAGTATCCCATATCATCAGGGTCGAACGTACTCTAGATTTGATGGAATTATTTTGACCCTCAAATTCTTGAGTCGGCCTTATACTCTGGAGGAAACCGGAAAACCTTCCAGCCCAGTTCAAGAATAAACTTGTGGAAAGTTACTTCTTCAAAAGCAAAAGTATCTCATATCATATCTTCTCCATTTGCTTCTCCTTATCCTTGGTGCTATTTACGACACAAGGAGAATGAGAACAATCAACCAGAAGCCAAAGTCGAACCTCCGATCCAGGTTGCTTGCTTGGAAGTCTGATTGCTTACCTTGTCTGTTACCTCTTTCGGCAAATCTCCTAGCTCGGCGACTTGGGGGACTCCTACTATAGGTTTTGTATCGCACTTGACCAAGCCCGAAACTACAAGTAAGCTTCAAGTGAAATTGATGCATTACCTTGTGCATCTTCATCGGTTAAAGATACCATCCCTAGATGGAGGAAAAGTACTTCCAGAGAAGATGCCCCATCCATATCTGAGACAGATAAGGCAAGTGAAAATGATACCACACATCGGTACTTAGAAGTTTCGTGATTACTCAATAGCTTGGATCTTGCAAGTCCCCAACCAAAGAGCTTCCCTCACTCGGGAACTTAGGGGAGCACTGTTTGTACCATACTTGACCAATCCCGAAACTACTGAGCACCGGTCAACGTTATACTGTCAATGACCCAGAAGAGTTTCCCTCCAACCAGGAGCCAACCACAGTGCGACACGTGTCGACATCAGAAGCCAATCATAGCGTGACACGTGTCAACATCAGAAGTCAATTACAACACGACGTGTCAATGTCAGAATGAAACTAGAAACTCTCTTCTATAAATAGAGATCATTCTCTCACAATATTTCCTAATGTCATTTGTACCAAATCATTCACTAGTACTCATCAAAGGAGAGCTTGAACCTATGTACTTGTGTAAACCCTTCACAATTAATGAGAACTCATCTACTCCGTGAACGTAGCCAATCTGGGTGAACCACGTACATCTTGTGTTTGCTTCCCTGTCTCTATCCATTTACATACTTATCCACACTAGTGACCGGAGCAATCTAGCGAAGGTCACAAACTTAACACTTTCTGTTGTACCAAAGTCCTCACTGATTTTGTGCATCAACAGAAGGGATACAAAAGCCATGGAGCTATTCAGTCTAATGTTATCGAGGGTGAAGAGCCTAACACTGTAACGTACAATGTTATGATTGATGGACTGTGCAAGAAAGGTTTGGTGGACGAGGCTTTTAAGATTTTCGAAATGATGAAGGGTAAGGGGAAGCAGCCTGATACAATTACATACAACATGTTACTGATGGGACTTTCTTGTCATGTGAAGGTAGATGAGGCAATGAAACTTTTCAGTGTGATATCAAAGGATGAGAACCTTCTTGAGCCAGATGTAATTGTTGTTGATAATTGCAAGTGTACAATATCGTCCAAGTAATATAGTGATAAGTAGAGTGTCGTTCAAACAAGGATCGGATTTACCTAAATTTACTATTGAGATTGACTTCAAACTAAACTTAAATAAAAGATGGATAACGATGACAAATTCAAATATGCAAAAACCCAAACGAAATTGAAAATATCAATTGAACAAACACGAAGTAAAAGTGAATGAATTATGAAAAATTAATATATTGAAGCACTAGGACATCAGGTTCCTCATTCTCAATCCCATCTAATCCCGTTATTCATATTAAACTCAATTTTTTCCCATGTTGCTAGCAATTATCCCTTGATTCGTCAATATTTCCTTTCAGAATATACTAACTGTGTTTCTAACTATCTACCATTGCTATGTCTAGCCACAGAAGTAGATAATCGAATCCCTTTACGCTAAATGGATAATTTCACAATACTACACAAATCATAACCAGTATGTCTACTCAATTATGTAATTCATGGTAATCGTTATGAGAAGCAATCTACTAAACTCAACCTGTCAGTCCAATTTAGTTCTTCACACAAATAATGGCCAGTTATTTGATAACGATAAAGCACAATAACAATTACTCAACATGGAAAACAACCGAGATCAATGTGAAATAATAAGAATTAGATGTTCATGATAAGAGTACACCCTAATCCAAGCAAAAGGACTTAGTTCATGATTAAACTAATCACAAACATGGATGAATTCGATAACATAAAGAAACCCCAAAACCCCAATTCTGGAATCGTATGCGATAAACCCCAAAACTGCCACCTTCTCTCCAGCGTTTTTTTCCACTGGAAGGCTGGAATCTCCTTATATCCCCCCTTTGCGGCTGCTTCTCATCTACTCCCCAGCAATTGGAGAGAAGGGTCGGTTCCGTACATCCCCCGGTTGGACTTTTTTTTCTTTCTTTTTTTCTTCTATCCCATCCCTTTTGTTCTCTAATCCACATGCCGTTTTTATGAAGCCCAAATTGGACTTAATTTGATAAAGCCCAAATTCCAGCACCACTCTCACATAGCATCAGTCCACTTCGTTATTCTTTCGTGCTTTCCTTGTAATTCTTCTAAAAAATCCAGTTTTCTCCGAAAAAAATAACTTCTATAAAATTCACACAAAATACATCAAATCCAACTGTTTTATATCAAACCATGACTAAATTAATAGGTAAAAGAGATACAAAATATACCTATTATATCAACCTAACAGTAATCACATATGACATCCTGATTAATGGACTGTGCAAGGAAGGCAATCTTGATAAAGTTATGGATGTTTACAATACAATGGTTGAAGGGGGCATTGCATGTAACTTATCTACTTATAATTCTTTGATAGATGCATGTCTACAGGAAGGATTTGTGGGCAAGGCCATAAAATTCTTGAGACATGCACTTGACTTGGGATTGGTTCTGAACGGAATTACTTATGGTGTCTTGATCAATGGGTTTTGCAAAACTCACATGCTTAGGTTTGCAAAAGGACTCTTTAGTCAAATGAGAGCTGCTGGGGTTAGTCCTACTGTGATTGACTACAACGTTTTGATGGTACCCTTGTGCAAGGAGGTTAGTTTGGATCCTTGTGCAAGGAGGGTAGTTTGGAGCAAGCTAGGATGCTATTTGAAGAGATGAGGCGTACAAATTGTGTGCCAAATCTGGTCTCATTTAATACAATAATTGATGAAACTCTAAAAGCGGGAGATGTTGTATCTGCTCAAGACTTGCTACAAGACATGTTTAAAATGGATTTAACTTATGATGCCATTACCTTTCCATATTAGTAAGCCGGTTCCCGAAACTTGGGCTTTTGGACTAAAATGGTTCTCAAGAACATGATTGCTTGTGGTGTTGAACCTGATGCCTTTGTTTTCGATTCTTTACTAAAGGGCTATTGTTTAAAGGGTGACACAGAAGAAATCGTTAATTTGCTTCATCAGATGGCAGACAAGGGTGTTGTTCTTGACTCAGAAATAACTTCTACTATCTTGGAATGCCTTAGTGAAATCTCTGATGATGTTGATGTGATGAAGATTCTTCCAACTTTTTCCCAAGAAACATCAAAAGGAGCCAGCATTACCTGCGATGAGCTATTGGTGAAACTCAATAACTCTCACCCAGAACTTAGATTATATGCTGCTTGATGTTCTTCATTCCAAGAGGGACTTTCCAGTGCCACGACAAACCTGCTGCTTGTTCTATCATATCATATGTAAGTCTTGTATTGTCTTTTGTTTTGTACAGTTCTGCATAATACCCTATTAATTCTCTTTCTCATGAAATAACCAGTTTCCAATGTACAACAATGGAATAACCAGTTTCCAGGTGTACGACAATCATTTCTTTCAAGACAAAATTATCAAGTAAGGAATTTTTTGTTGTCTAGTTCTGTAGAATGGAATGTTTTTTCCACTTAAACAATTTGAAAGTTGAGGTAGTTAGTTATGGTTATAATGTTTTTCAGGTAGATTTAGGGGTAGGGTTAGAGGGAGGAAAATGTTGGCTTGGTGGGAGTTACTCCAATCACCATCCGGGCCTAGGTTTCTAAAGGCAAATCAAACGAAAAAAGCCTTTAGGAAAGTTAAGAAACTGATAATACTTCAAGTAAAATACATCCAGCCTAACTCCTTCGCCCACGGGACTTTCCCCTTTATACTACATTAGTAATTCCTAGACCCTTCCAAAATGACCCGTTAAACTTCCCATACATCATTAATACCAACAACTACCCATTAACATCAGTAATCCGCTAGTCAAACCCATTAGGTTTCCCATACATAGTTATTACTTAGTACTTGGTAAGTTTAACCAGACTCATAATACTTTTAGGGGGTGTTTGTTTTCCCTCACTAAAATTCACTAGACTGGACTGGACTAAGAGTTAGTCCAGTCCTGTGTTTGTTTCCTACATGGCTTAGATTTAATGAGACTAGCTCTCACTCGCTTCGACTAAACAAGGGACTAGCCGGTCTTAACGAAACCCCCCAAAAACCATGGGATTGCTAATCCCATCTCCAAAGACGATCGTACGCTGCAAGTTTATGAATGCTACAAGTCTGCAAGCATGCTTCTGGGCAACTCTGTTTGCCAACCCATTTCCCAGATCTGAAAACCAGCCTCACCACTGCCTAAATCTCAACACCAAAATTCAAAAAAAAAAAAAAAGCAAAACGATAACAACAATCCTAATAGAAAAATTCTTCCTTATTCTCGAAAATTCCCAGAAAGTTTTCCTTTTTCCCAGAAAATTCCGAAGAGAAATGGATAAAGAAGGGGAGAAAGTAGCTTTGGACGAAGAGAAATGGTGAGACGGAGAGGGAGGAGATAGTACTTTTTGGGGACGATTTTGCAGAGGAAAAAATGATTTTGAAGGTTGCGGTTTTGCAGGACAAAAGATGGAGAAAGGGAGTGTTATGGGGACGAAACTAAAGGAAGAAAAGAAAGAACTCTCCAAAGAGAGTCCAGATAGAGATTGAATAAAAAATTAAAATATTATTGAATTAATAAAGGGGACAGAACTAAAGAGTGTTCTAGACACTTTAGAGACAAAATGAAAAAAGATTGAATAAAATATTATTAGATTAAATAATATAATATTGTAGTTGTTACTTATCCTTCTTTTAGTCCGTCACTGCATCAAACGCTTCACTAAGTCAGTCCAGCTTAGTCTAGTCTAAGCCAATCCAGCTTAGTCCAGGAAGTTAGTTCAGTCCGAGATAGTCCGGTGCAACAAACGCACCCTTACTGCATTAGAGGGTATAAGTGCACCTGCATTGGAAGCATTTAGATTGAGGTCTTTGGACAAACAACATTGATTACTTCAATTTGTACATATTATACTTATTTTGGTTGTTGGTGCCACTTGGTTGCACTCTTTCGTTTGCTGGCGTTTGGAAAAGAGAATGTCTGCACTCTATCCTGTTCTGAAAAATTCTTGTTTAAGTCAAACCTTATGTCAGTAACAGTGGTTGCCTTAAATTGAGAACTCTCCCGAGAGAAATATCATTGCTTTGGTTTAGTGTTCTATGTGTAGAGGAAAGGGGTGACGTGGTGCATCTATTACTACACTGTCCTGTTGCTAGGATCTGTGATCTTTGTCCCTTTTGTTCGGTGTTTGGGTGAGCTCATGTCAGGTGTGGGTCTTTCTGACTTTGCATGATGTTGAGCACAGTTACTCTTAGATCAAGCGTTTTCTTTAGTTTGTTTATGTACACTACTACAAATTTTAACATACATGACGCAGTTTATGGGTCATGTTAAAAGTTTAATGACACAAGCATTTAGCATCATCTTTGTGGGTGTCATTAAAGATACTTTTTATGACGTTGAAAAAGTGTCATGTATTAATTTTAAGGACGCCTAACAAGCATCATTGAATTAAGAACTTGTGTCATCTATAACCATTTAAGACGCAAATTAAGTGTCATATACAGAGAAATGAGCGTCATGGTATACTAAACATGACATCTATATAGCGTCATGTACTATAGCACCGAAACCATTTGCAACGTCATTGAATATTAGCAATGACACGCAAAGCGTGTCATAAACCGTTCAATACATGTCCTGAAATATGTTTGATGACATATATAATGTATTTTTAATTTGAAAGCATGACCTACATAATTCATCCAAAGAGCAAGATATTGACCTCAAATGAAACAATATTGCTTCATAAATTTGAAATTTATCCACCATCGAAGTATTACAAAAGACAATATAATGTATAGAGCTTTCCTACTAATAAAACTGTAAGTTCACTTAATTTAAAATCTGGTTCTTCTCACAATCTGGTTGAGCATAAGATCACCAACAACAAATATCCTTCTCCCTTGACGCAGGAGAGACTCCCACCTTTTCTACACAAAAATTATCAACATTAATTAAAAAAATCAATAAGAATAACAATTCTTACTTTCACATGCTAAAACCAAAAATAAAACTGCAAAGGGTCATTCTGATTATCTCTAGAATCTTGGAAAATTTGAACTTAAAATCATTATTTCCGTATCCTGCACAGATGAATCAGGTCAAACAAAAAGATCAACAAAAGTGCAGTGTAGTTTTAAGATCACATGGAAGAAAATAAACGAACACAAATAAATTCTCTTTAACCATTCTAGTATAAAATCAAAGGTTGATTTAAAGTAACCGTGCAATAAAAATAAAAAAAGGCATCCATTAATCTGTGATAATCTAGAAAATAGGACAGCTGTACATACAAGTAACAAAAGCATCCAGTAATCATATTGTTTCATAAAAAAAATAGCACAAAAAATTAAGGGCAAGAAGAGAAAGAATCTCACTTGCATAGGATCTGCATGAACGGAGGATTGACTAGTAGCAGGGGCAAAGGCACTTGATTTGGATGAGGCCTCAGACTCCTTATTTGTCTGACTACTTAATGCAGAAATCTATGGGACTAATGAGCCTTTCTTCACACGTTTTGCACCAGCAGTTGTTGAAACCTACAATTTACATAATTAAACTGCCCACCAGTGCCAGCCCCAGTAAATTAACAATTAGAAAAACAAAACCAATATAAGTTCACAGCAAAATAAAATGTGAATCGACATTACTACCGAATTGGCTCCAAATCCATCCAAACCTACTCAAACAACAAAATACCCAACTCAAACTAGACAACAGATTGAACATGAAAACCACAAATAGCACCAAGCCCAGATAAACTCACACTAAATCATATAAAAATCCATATCACATAGATCTCAAATCATCAATTAACTTATGTAAATGAAAATAAGGGATTTACCAAAAAATTGACGATGGCCGGTGATGGCTGACGAAAGCGTGGAGCCGTGAGGGCGACGACGCATGGTGTTCAGATGGCTGGATGGCGGTAGCGCGGGAGGGACTTTTGCTGGCTTGCAGCCTTGCTGTTGAATATCGTCCTCTCCAATGGCAGAACAAAGTCCTGATGGGGAACGAAGTCCCACTCCACCGTTTATGTTATATTTTTTTGTACGAGCATATTAAAGAAAAAGGATGAGATTTAGGCTGAAGAGGTTAACTGTTCAAACGTGCAATTGTAATGGGTGTGAAACTGATCTCTTTTTGATAATTGTCTCTTGGTTTTCTTATCTTTTTATTTTAATTTATTTATATTTTTTATAAGTTGCGTCATAATTTTATTTCAATGACGCTTTTAATAAAAGAATGTCATTAAAAAAAATTCTAAGTGTCATGAAAGCCCTATTTTGTAGTAGTGGTATAAACACAGTTGAAGAACAATGGCACCGCATCATGACTTCCTTTTTTTTTTTTTTTTATGCAATTGCAGTTTTAACAGTGCAGCGTGGAATTTATTGGTCATATTGAAGCTGCAAGGTGTGATGAGACTCTGGTAAATGTGTTATCTGGGACTCAACCTGTCCCTGGAAATCTTGATGGAGTCATCTCCACTGTCCCTTCACGTTGCAGGTGCTCTTCATCCTTTCTCTATTCGCATCTAAGTTTCCATCCCCAAGCCCTGTAGGTACAAGTGGATGCTTTCAAGGATGCGGTCCAGATCGACATCATATGTTGTGCTTTGAAGAGCCTGCCGTCGAGAAATGTATCGCCAAATGTTAACTATGGCAACAAAGAGAAAAAAAAACATGATGTATGGATGTGCATGCACATCTAATGAACAAAGAGCTGAAGAGAAATCCAAGTATCAAAGAATACCTTTGTAAGTTTGTTAGCACACTTGAGAACCAGACCAGAGAAGTGGCATGACTAGCGTCGTCGTCCAAGCATGTGGGATAAGAAGGAACATCACTTGTTAACGGCAGATAATCCCGATCATAAAAATGAGTCGGCTTTTCATTGCCATTAATGTTAGTTATGCACTCCTAATCATGATTACTATCGTCACTAATTATAATACTTTCAGTTTTATCACAAGGCACAACAGGAAGAGTATTGCTTCAATGTATTGGTGATCACATTCACAGTAGTACTTTGTGATCCCAGTTCTTTCTTGCTCTCTTTCTTTTAAGGCTTTTAATCCAAAAAATGATTCCTGAGGTAGGCATAACTCTCTACTTTGATCTTTGACAATGAATGTCGATAGAATCAGACCCTGAATTTATCATGATAAATCATTTTGAACATTTCATGAAAAATATGTTCACATTTTTAAGGTATTTTTGTCAAACCAACCACTTTACTTAATAGCATATTGATAGATTTTCCACAAAAGAACCAAAATGATTTACGACAAACTTAGAAATTACTTCTATCGATTTCCATGGTCAGAGAAGTGTTAAGTTCGATTCTTACCAAAGACAAATTTGAATCATGTTATTACTAGTCTATTGTACGAATAAGTCTGCTCTCCCACACCAACGGAACATATCCCAAACTCTTTTATAAGCGAGAAAACTAATGAGAAGAAAAAGGGAGAAAATGGCAGAATTCAAACTCAGGTAGCAATCCACACTACCACGATCATATAGACGAGAAATTTTTCTTGTAGTTAGAACATGGGTGATATATCACGTATTTTTATATAAATAGTGAGATATTTTATACTTAAAAGTTATTAATTTTTTAATACACATATCTTACTATTTGTATAATAACACATAATGTACTATTCAGCATTCCGATCACACTAAAAAATTTATCACTTCTCGTAAACAGAGACTTAATTTTTGAAACTAAACACTTCTTACGAATAAGCATCCTCTCCAGATTCTCTATGAGGATTCTAGAGATCCTCTTTGCGAGAATTCTAGGAATTCTCTAATTATGTCGTTTATCGTACATTGTGTGATCACAAATTATTATAATTTTTTTATTTAAAATTAAACATAAATAATACTGATTAAAACTAATCATACAATATACAATAAATAAACGTGATTGAAGAATCATAAAAAAAAAATCAGGAGAGGAATCTCATTCACTTCTTACACACTCATATGTACCGTTGTTTTCATTTTATTATATGTTCAATTCGATGAAGAAAAAGAATCCTTTTACTTTCGGCTCCTTGAATGATGTTTTGTCTCTATATGGGTTATTTTGCTTACAATAGACGGTGAACAACTTACACGTACACAGGACCCGAAACACTTGTCCAGCACGTCGGCCCACCTTTTCTTTTGCATAAATTAAACACAAGATTTTAAAAAGAGGAACAACACTACCTACTTTTCAATAACCAAGAAATAATATCACCCAAGAAATAATATCAACCATTAATCCAACCAGGTCTCTGCTGGAAATCGACCGATCAGATTGATCGAGAAGATGATAAAAAAGTCAAGATCATCATCTTCTAAGGGCAAAATGGTCTACCTAATCGAGCCCTGTGACTGGGAATAGTGAAGTGCCTGATCAGACCCTCCTGCTCCGTCAAGTACCCCTCACAGAGAAAAGCCTTGGAGAAGCTGTCCTCAACCACTCTATTCACATCATGCACAAACACATGGGTTTCCCCCTCCTCCCTGTTCCTCCCCATCAGCCCCGCCGTGTATATGGCGCCCATTCTTCCCGGAGCTCCGTCGAAGTACCCCGTCGGCGCATCCACCATGATCAAATCCCACTCGATATCGTACACATCGCTCGGCAAGTTCTTGAGCGCCAGCTCGCACTTTGAAAACCTCGGATCCCCAACAGCTTTGCACTCTTCCTTCCTTCCGATCTCCATGAGCTTGTCCGCTTGGTGGACCTTGGTGTCGTACGTCACGTGGTAGGCCTCTAAGCCCGGCAGCTTCTGTTTGATCTGGTCGATCCATGAATTGTCTTCTTCGAGGAAGACGGTTCTTCCGCCGTGGTTGAGAGCCGTCCACATGAGGCTGTCGAGGCCGAGGCCGAAGACTAGAAAGTTGCAGGGTGATTTTTTGGAAAGGATCGCGGCGGAGACGGAGACTTCTTTGATGGTTTGTTGTGGGGTGACGTTTGTTGTGGCGTAGTGGATGATGGCGTGGGCGAGGGAAGGTGGAATTTTGGTGCATGTTGGGGTGAAGGGTTGATCGCATGGTGGTTGTTGTTGTTGGGGTTTAGGGTTTGGGATGAGATGGGATAGTGAGGAATTGGCCGTGAACGGTGACGGTAATGGTGACGATGAGAAGGTTGATCTGACAATGAAGATAGTGAAGAGGAAGATGAAGAAGCAGCAGAGGAGGATGACCTTGAGATTGATGCCACATTGCGGGTTGGACCTCATGGTGCTTGATGAGATGAGAGAGAGAGAGAGAGAGAGAGAGAGAGAGAGAGAGAGAGAGAGGACTGAGGAGATAATATTGATCTGAGGTTTTATGAACAGAAGGTGGATGTAAGCGGTGGGGAATGGAAGAGAAGGAGGAGACGTGGCTTTATTGTTTGTTTCTGCTTTTCAATGAGAGGTTAGCAAAGTTGGTACATAATACATTAAATTAAGGAGGGTAGAGGGAAACAGTGGCACCCTGGTTCTTGAGAGTTACTTAAGTGATGATGGCATATTACCAGATCCATGGTACCGTAGTGTGTATCCTCAAAAATGTCCCCAAGTACTTTCTACCTTCACATACACTATAAAGTAATGTTTTTGTTTTTGTTTTTGTTTATCATCTTAAATGATAAGGATGCTCATAATCATGTTCATCACTGTTTGAGAAGTTTAAGTTTCGAGATCTATTGAGTAAATAAATTTAAATCTCAAAATTTAACCTCATTCTACAATAATAAGTAGGACGGTGAGCACAAATACACCCCTACTATAAAACTCACATCAAAAAATTGTTTAATAAACACATCGTGTCTTAGTTTTTAATTTTCAAAAAAAATAAAAAATAAGTAACCAAAGTTACTTTGATGAGTTTTTATAATTTGACTTAATTTTAGTTTTCAGTTGTCATTTTTTTAATAAAAAATGAAAACAACTAAGAAACAAGTTTTTAGTTTCTAATTTTTTTTTATCACCGTTTCAACTATTTTGCACCTTAGCTCTCCCACACTATTATCATCATAGTGGAGTTTAACCACCATGTTTGGCTATAGGCCCCTCTTAGAAGGACTACAAGCGTTCAACTACGTTTGGTGTAAAAATTTACAAGTTCTTTTAAATTATCGAAGTGCTTTCTAGAAAAGTTGATAGGTACTTCAAAAAGCACCTCCAAGTATTTTTCCCGAACCACAACAATTTCTAGAGTCAATAATAGCCCTAATCATGGATAGAATTCCATAAATGGGACCCGGATTATATATGTATTATTCTCTTAATTAAAGGAACTAGAAGTGATTAATTATATCTTGCTCTCTAATTGAAATCTGAAGTCTTCATCTTAGAAGTGAAGCAAGATAGGTTGTTGGAGGGTTGATATACACACGAAGGCCACCACCGCTGTTTCAGTTGGTAGAAATAACATGGTTGGTGTAACGGCCGCTGATGTTTGTTGATATATTTCTGATATTTTTTTCTCTTTTATAATAGGGAAGATGTGATGCTTTTGATTATTAATGTCTTTTGCTGTGCTGCAAAGCTTTTTAAACTCGAAAAGGGACATGGTGTGGTTATAAAGCCTTTGTCTAATTGCGACATATATAGAATACATTATGAGGGTTTGACTAAAAAATAAAATACATTACGAGGCAGTAGCGGATCCAGGAAATAATGTTTGTGAGGTCATAGCGCGCGCAGCGCGAAATTTTTTTTTAGTCTCGTTTGGTACTTCGGACTGTACTGACTATTTCAGTTGGATAAGATAAATAGTCGTCGGATAGTACTAACTCCATTAGTCGGGCGTTTGGTGCAATGTCGGATAAGTTAAATGGCTTTAATACATAGCTGATACAGTTTCTACCAAACTACTGCATGCAACACAGGAGAAGAGAAAAGAATTAAAAGATACAAAAATTATGGCAATTGAATTTCTACCAGCACGCATAGATTAAGCATCTCCGCTCGATCTGTCTTCTCTTCTAACTCTTTCATCTTCCAAAACGTAGAAAATTGATGATGCTTACGCCATGGAAAGAATGGAACTGGAAAAAAAAAAACCCGAAAACAGTTTTGTATTAATCAACTCTTGAGCTTAGTCTTCACCTTTGTCACAATTCTGTCACTACCGCTTTTACTCTTGTTACTCTTATTCCTCTTTTTCTGTTTCTGTTTCTTTCCACTCTGTTTGTGATCCTCTACTTTTCCTTGAGGATTCACCTCCTCAAACTCGAGCGGTCTTCTAATTACACCGGGTCTCTTCATCACCTGCACACAATTGCATTTAAGGTGAGGAATGAGAAGCGCCATAGCATCCAACATCCGGCTTAGGGAAACAAAAGACGGATCAAATGTGGTATTGCAGAAGTCATCAATGGATGCAAACTCAAGCATATCCGTATGGCATAGTAATAGCTTGCTTCTTCTTCTTCCTCTTCCTGCAGTGCCGAGCTTCGTTCAGGATTTTTGTCGAACACTTGGCGTGTGACTCCGACCCCGACGACCCCAGTTCCAAGAGGTCGCGTATGGGAGCTTCAAGGTTGTTTCCATGCTTTCCAAGGGGTCGTGCGACCCCGACGACCCCACTGTGGATCCGCCCCTGTTACGAGGGGAGAGACACACACCTCATTTTACTTCTCACATACCTTTTTAATTTTTAGTCGTCAGATTGAATGAATTGAAGAAGATCAACGGACAGAAATTATCAAGGGGTGTGAAAAGTAAAATGGGGTGTGTGGATAACACACCCCATTTTTCAATATATTCAAAACACGAGTCGATATATTACGTGTTATAATACAAGCAGAGACACTAAAAAATATATCGTTTTAGCTTATATTATGACACATGATTTACCGATTTCTATTGCGGTTGCATAGGAAAAATCTTCTGTTTAATTTAGTTATTGATGTTCTGAATTGAGATTCAAACGTCTGGAGATAGATTTTTCAGTATACTTATAAGACAATTTGATACATCACCTGTTATAATATAAGAAGCCTCTCCACTTATATTATAATACATAGTATCGATTTGTGTTTCGATTCCTAGAAAAAATCTTCCATTTAATTTGGTTATTGATGTTCTGGATTGAGATTCAAGCCTTTGTGTGAATAATGAAGTGGATCGTGTCTAGGAAAGAACACCGACAAAGAAAATAGAACAGTAGGAATGAACATTCAAATCGATAACCTTAGAATCTACCTTTTTAAAAGAGGGATTTGAGTTTAATCATTGAATTGAGAATGACATTTATGCTTTGCTTAGTATAATTTTCTCTTTTTTTTTTATTTTGAAGGCACAGAGGATCGTGAAACTCAACTCAAAAGAGAAAAACAATTTCAATCTTGCGATGCAACAGTAAATAAATAAAATAAAAAGCAAACTAGAACACAAGGATTTTTCTTAAAGTGGTAACACCCCACATACAACGGAGAAAATTCATGGGCACACTGACATGAATAATTCACCAAGATCAAACAATAAATACAAGACTCAAAGACTGCCTTGCCTTCTTGTCTTCGTACATGTTTCTTCGTCTCATCTTGGTTGAACGCAGTCATCTCAGAGCACGAAGGTTCGCCCATGGCTAGAACACAATATGAATGATGATATGAATGCATATAGATTTCTTGACTCGAAGCTTTTTCTCGCACAGAACTTATGATTGGCAAAGACAGAAAACCCCTGGTCTGACTCTCTTAATAAAATATAAACACACAATTTATATTTTTCCTAAAATAATGCACATGAACTTTACCTTAAGCGAACCACGAAATCATATTGCCTTTGATTGTCCTTGACTTGCAAGTCTTCAAACCTAGACACTAGAAAACGCCTAAATTCTAGCACTAATCTATTACAAACACATTACACTTGTTTAGGAAATTAGCCATCACAAAAGCTTGAGCTTTCAGCGTTGCTTCTTGCACATTATTATTTTTGGATATGATTAAAATACATTTGTATGGTAAGGGGATGAGACGTTTTCAATAGGTTGATATTTGTTTGGAATGTTAAAAAATGTTAAGACCAATTTTGAAAGACAGTAAATTTAATCTTACATTTTGGTCCTCAAACAAAATTTGGATTAAAAGGGCCCATAGCCATAATCCGAATTGAAAAATCTGGTTCTAAAATCAATTATTTACAAGCCATGAATATAAAAATTAGAATGTAAGAAGAAAAAAAAGGATTATAATGAAACCAGTATCCCAATTGCTAAGTCAACCATAAAGAAATCGGCACACGTAAATGACTTTAATTCAATACTTCCCCAGTAAGCTCTATAATAATGAGTTTAATGTCTGAGGTCTGTGCCCTCTGTCCACAAAATTTGTTAATGAGATAGATCGGTCCGGTTTACTTTGGTGGGATTCAATACGTGAACGAAAGAAACAATGTATTATGAAACACTTCTTTTATTTCGTCTCAAAATTATTAGAGGTATCAATTGAATCGTTGGAGTTTCGTATAATTAGTCTGAGGTTTATTCTTTTAACGGAGAGGGGGTGATGTGCCTTATATGTACATGCCCACCTCTTATAGCACGAGGCATTTTGGGAGCTCACTGGCTTCGGGTTTCATCGGAACTCCGAAGTTAAGCGAGTTCGGGCAAGACCATTCCTAGGATAGGTGACCTACTGGGAAGTTATCACGTGAGTTCCCAGAAACAAAACCGTGAGGGCGTGGCCGGGGCTCAAAGCGGACAATATCGTGCTACGATGGAGTTGAGTCTGGGATGTCACAGAATGGTATCAGAGCCAGTCTGATGTTCAGTGCGAGTGTGCTGAAGAGGACATCGGGTCCTTAAGGGGGGTGAATTGTAACATCTCACATTGACCAATGGAAAGGGGGTGATGTACCTTATATGTACATGCCCACCTCCTATAGCACACGGCATTTTGGAAGCTTACTGGCTTCAGTTTCCATAGAAACTCCGAAGTTAAGTGAGTTCAGGCGAGAGTATTCCTAGGATGGGTGATCCACTAGGAAGTTCTCGCATGAGTTCCTAGAAACAAAACCATGAGGGCGTGACCAGGGCCCAAAGTAAATAATATCGTGCTACGGTAGACTCAAGTCTGGGATGTTACACTTCCAGGAGCAGTATGTGCGAGTGAAGCATGGGGATCTTATTGGAATTTGGATTCAAAGGAGACTTGGGCATTTATTAATTGGACCATATTTGCTATTTATTTACATATTAGAACAAATAAAAATTTTGAAAGTGTAAATTCTGCAATTGTGACATCAATGGGCTTTCTTATAAGGATAATGCTTTGTAGACCAAAATTTTAAACCAAATTTTGTAAATCAATTAATTCATTAATAGAAAATAAGCACGTTAATCAACACTGAAATAATAATCCAATTAACATCCACATAATTCGATTTGCAAATTTGATTTAAAATTTTAATCTTTCTAGCATTACTCTTCGTATAATTTAGATATAGGGAATTGTAAATAGCACTTTAAAAATCTCATTTTACACTCTAAATTTTTTATAATTAGAAAGAAAAAATAGTAAAATGAGATTTTTGAAGTTTTAATAATAATTCCGAAAAAAAATTGCCCAAAATATGTTACTTTTCCAATGGGAGAAAATTGGGTCAGAGACTCGCAAAACCCTTGTATTTACCGCCAAAAGAGAGCAAATTCTGCAAAACCCTACAACTCCTCCTGCCGCTCTCCGACTCTAAATCCAAAGCTGTTTGTCTCTGTCGATATGAAATTCGCGGTGAAGGCATGGAGCGGCGGAAGAGCGCGGACCGGGGTTCTCCACTTGGGCAGCTGCCCGACCCCAATAGAGACCCCTTCTCTTCTCCTATCCACCCGAAAGGGCCTGCCCCAGTTCACCCCTCCTGACCTTCTTCCTTCTCTTCCTTTCCCTGATTCCCGTCTCTTCCATGTTAGCTCCCTCCACTTGTAAGTAATTATATTTATACCCTCCAGCTTTTCCTTGTTTCTACTTTCGCCACATTGATATTACATTCTACCTGTTTGTGAATTGGTCTGTGAGAAGACAGTTCAACATTTCAAGCATTGTTTGACTTTGCAGCTTGGAAGTCCCCTCACCTCAAACAATTTCAAAAATAGGAGGACTGCATCAGTTGCTCGGCTTGCCCGAACACGGGTTCGTGTGCATTCCAAGGGACTCCATTCAATGCCTTCCTGAATGTAATAGCAGTAACAAATTTGGAGCATCTTTCGAGACTCCTTCTGGTCGCCATTTGGTAATTGCCTCATCTTGCTTTCTGGAATAAGTTGATTTCTACCTGACTACAACTAGTTTGTTTTCGGGTTAGTTAATAATGGTGACTCTGGTGGTGACTGTATAGTCTTTTTATGTGCTTGTAGATGAAACCCGTTGAGTATGTCGAGTTGATTACTTGCTTGAAGCCCAATATGTGGACCACTTTGGCAGATGAAGTTCCTGTATGGGTCTCTGAGAAGAGGAACAAGACCTCGGTTGATCGAACTATAAGATGGCTTGATGAATGCATTGAGCTAAATCAGGTAAAAGACGGTACTTTTGTGCCATTATGAAAGACCCATTTTAGAGAGGTAGTGGCATCATATATGCCCATTGCCTATACAATCACTGGCGTATGCGTTATATACTAGGTGTGCTGCTAGCAGACCTAGACGTTTTAAAATGAAAAAGAAATTGTGCTACAATATATAGAGCATTCTTTCTTCTTCTTTTCGTTGATAATATAAATCTGAGTTTACTCTTTTCTGTTCAGACTGAATGATGGACATATATTGCTCAAAATGTAGGCAGGTGGACCTGTCTTTGGATCTATTGTTGGTGGGTCTTCTGTAAATGAACGTGAGAGATGTGCCCAAGAGGTGGCTAGCCGAAATGTATCAGGTTTCTACAATTCTTTGTTTCTTCCTTATCTCCTACTTGTATGTTGCATCATATCTTAGAACTTATTAGATTTTTTTTTTCAAGAAAAACGAATTTGTTCAATCAAGAGAACCCCGTAAAAAATTTGGATAAGGAAACAAAATTACATGGACTAAGTTTATTTAAAGACCAATTAAAACGATTTGAAACCTAACAAAAACTTCTGACTACCAAAAATAGACACAATTTATAACAGCTAATAACTTCAGCATAATAATTGAGAATGAACACTCCCATATGGAACTGAACTTCCACTTTGGGTTTTCTTGTAATTTTCTAAACATTTGAAGCTTTTGTGAACATGACAAAACAATAGGAAATTAGTGCCAAACAATTTCATTTGGATTTCTTTCTTACCAATATTTCTAATAGTTTGGTGTATTAAAAGGGCGCTGTTATTGGCACTCTTAAAATCTCATTGTGCACTCCAAACTTTATAATTTAGAAAGAAAAATAGAGGAGTGCACAATGAGATTTTTGGAGTGTCATTATTAACACCCTTATTTAATCGCATTGCTATATAATTTGCTATGAAAATATTTTTTTCTCCAGGTTATTGGATCGGAGGATTTGGGCTTGGAGAGAACATTTATGAGCGTCCTGCTCTCCTTAATGCTGTTACTGTAAGTCACAAACTGGAGCCTTCAGTTTTCCCCTGAACTTGATCAAACCCTATTCTCATA